ACTACATTTTTACAATTATCTTATAAATAGTGATAACAGACCAACAAATGCAGGAATAGAGACGTCCTGTCCGTAATTGACTAACGATATCGACTGAACCAATTCGTCGATAAACTTCTTCGAGTATTTGGCGTCCATTAAGAAGTTTTTGTACGAGATTTTTGTTAAATTATAAATCTCTGGACTCATGGCGGTTAGGAGTCGGTCCACTGAATCAAACTTAACCAACGATTCTTGTAATTTATATACACTTTAGAGGCAAATGAATGACAATTAATTAAATGAATTTATATATAATTACCGTTTAGAGTAATTTATAATCAAAACAATCACTAACTTATCAAATGAATCAATAATTTTGGACACTTTTGACTGAAGTTTGTTGACATCAAAGCCATAGCGAAACCAAATCTTAAAATAAGTGATTAAATTGAAAGAACTTTCGCAGAAATCAAATCCCTTTCCGTTATATAAACACAGCTTTTCGTCGGATTCTGGGTTTGACTGCCGTTTCATGAGATCTGTTATCAAACAAGACATCAAATATTATTAATAAAGAGATGAAATGCACGCGTCTTTCGTGGCTATGGACTCAACTCAATGCCGCTGAGAGTTGTTTGGCGTAATGGTTGCGATCGTGTATAACGGATCCGCCCGTCTCGTACTGATGGCCATTAATGTCTTGAGTGGCCAAACGGCCGCCCATTTCGCCTCTCTTCTCATATAAATCGATACCAATGTCTGCGAGAGCCGATTGATGGCCACCTCTTTGGCACAATTGGTTCAGAAAATAGGCCGCAGAACCGCCGCCAACACCACCGCCGATGACCGCTATTATTAAAGAGATAAGATTATCGTTAAATATAAGACAATCAATGGTTTAAATGTTTCAGTAGTTATAATCACCGATAGACTGTTGCCGGTGAGCGCCGGTCGGGTCGACCGCGAAGTTTGTGGACACAAATATAGCGATCAATAAGACATTGAAAGCGTTGATCAGTGAATGCATTGTTAGGTTTGTCAGCAAATGGTGTAACAAAACGCGGTCTCAGATATCAATGCAATTAACATCTAATCTAATGATCAGTTTTTGTGATTTGTTTTTTGTTTACAATTAAAGCGCTTTTCAGTCGTTATGACAATTGCTATAAGTTTTGGGTGTTTTGTATACAACACTCGATTTGGCGCTCCGTTTGAAACAACAATTGACTTACAGTTTGTTGTATTGATTGTCCAGTAATTGTCATGTGTTTAGTACTCGTCTATAATTATTATACCATTAATTATGAATATCTTTTACACACTTTTTGGACACCACTTCAAACCGAAACGAGTGGTCAGATTGAAAGATAACATTCAATTGAAAGCTTCTTTTTTATACTCTAATTATACCTGTATTGAGACGGCACTAGATTTTGGGACATTTAATTCATACCATTAAATGTATTACGAATTACGAGAATAGCATATAATATGATGTATTTATTCACAATTTTTAATTATATTTGAGTTAATAAGTCTTATAAACCATTTAATAAAACAAGTGATTGCAAGTAAAGACTGATTGATAATGTAGTTAACAAAGAGTTATTCATAATTATAAAACAATGTTTGCATTTAAGTATTGCATTACTATTATTATAAAACATGATTGAAATTCTTATATAATTATTGTAATGTATGAATCATTTCAATATTAAATTTACATGAAATGATATTTAGCTATAAATACAGTAAAGTCTATGACAACAAGAATTATCTAATATTTATCCTAAATTTAAATGCCATTACTATTAATTGTATATCATTTAAGGCAATATACTCTGTATGTAAAGTTTGTGATAATGAAGTTTAAATATAACGGCAATTAATGTCTATATATAGTGTATTGATATTTAAATGTCGATACTTTATTTTAATGAACATTCAATACAATAAACAATTCAATAAATGCGTTAAATCTGAGACTAATTTAAAGTTTAGTACACTTTTTATTGTGAATTTCTAACACTTATAGAGAGTTTTTATTATAACATTTTATGTGTTTTTATTTAGTTTAAAACTACTGTTAAATCTAATTGACTGCTCATATAAATTAGTTATTGTTTGTCTGTCTGGCTGTCCATCAATGCCTTC